GACATTAACTCGTCGAGTACCGGTTTTGTAGACACAATTATAGAACAATAGGTTGCGGTCACCGGTGACCGCTTGGTGTTTGACAGTTTAATGTTGAAGTATTTAGTTTAACCCAATTACATCGATCAGTAGGTGCATAAATAAAATGTTTTGATTTGTCATAGTTGTGTTGTGTGGGTTGAATTAAAAAGGTACTCACTAAAAATTTGGTTCTCGTTATTCCAGATTGCCGGATTTCAGTAACATACTTTTGCTTAGTCTGCAAATATGAAAATGTATTATCATTAATTTATCAAGTATGTACATTAAGTATAATTATGCTAAGGTCGTCATGCCACTGGTGGATAGAATAGTCCTCTTCATGGCGCACTACTGAGCCAACGAGTAGAAGTAATGGAATAATCTATTATCTCCTTTATTTTGAAGACAAGAGATCAAGGAACAAATTCTAAAAAATCAACTAACTACTTATCAGAAAATAATTTCTGTTACACTTTTTACCACTAGGAAGCCCACCATCATATAATGATATGTGGGAAATCTTATGTTTAGAGGCATGTTACTAAACTATCAAAAGCCCAAACATCACTGTAGGTACATATTATCTACTAGCCACTTCCGCGGATTGCACCCGCTCTGCTCGGCTCCTATTGATTGTAGCGTGATGTTTTGTAGCCTATAACCTTCCTCAATAAATGGACTATCCAACATTATAAGAATTATTGAAATCGGACTGGTAGTTCCGGAGATTAGCGCGTTCAAACAAACAAACAAACTCTTCAGCTTTATATAGTAGTATAAGATTGATACGAAGATCCAACGTTGTCACTGGACATGGCCCTCTCATTTTAAGGGTTTTTTTTAAGGGGGAAAAATCATCAAATGTCTTCTCCCGCCTGGGTGAGGCGGGAGGGAGTCAGACTGTTACTAACTAAAAACCATGGCGTTCTTTCTCCTGCACTTTGAACCGGAGCCCCGGTAACCCGTTAGGTTCTCCACGACGTTTTTAAGGGTTAGGTATGAATCAAACTACCTGAATATTTGTAAATAGAAGCATAGACACATATATCTACACAGGTGTACGGAGAACACTTTCAAAAAATGAAGACAAGTGATAATAAAAACGAGTTCTAAGTTAAAAAAAGAGTAATGAAATATTATTTTACCTATAATAGTTGTAATCTACTACTCAAGGTTGATGTTGCATGAGTATCATGAAAACTAAAACAATTAAAGTTGAAAAAGCAAAAACATGTCTGTGTTTTCGAAGCATTCTGTTTACACCCTGCTATATAGTCATTATTATACTTACGGGTGAAGCGCCAACTGATAATTGGGCACCTAGTGGTGCTTCTAACACGAGAATTTGTTCATCTATAATACAGTCACGTATATCTTTATTCGTAACATAACATCGCTTGCTATTATCTGTGTCATCCAACACATTTTTTATACTTTGTTCAATCCAATGTAACTGTCTGGAAACAAAGAAAATATCATTGTTTTAAGTCTAATGAAAGGAGAAAGTACAACTTTATTTACATTGTGATGCATGCAAAATACAAATAAACAATCAAAATGAGTGGTGGCCTAAAGGTGAGGGCTTTTTTATACAGTGCTTCAACTTACTATAATGTTATGAGAGCAGGTAACCAATAATAATGTCAATAATTGAATTATCAATTAAACATTCAGGGTGCAATTGCATATGGATACAACAATGTTACTATCAAGACAGCGTAATGACATTGAGAAGTGTGTAATCGTATCAAATACTTACTTATCAAGTAATCTCTCCTGATCGTCTAGGCGCGCAATCTGTTTTCGCAAATGTACAACTTTATTACCAATATCACTTGTTTTGCATTCCGGTCCTGCACCCCTGAAACATAGTTATAAATAACAAACAAACGAATCAAAAGTTAACGAATCACAAATAAACAATAAAAAGTTCACCCACTTCCATTGTATACTGTTCTTACTTCTTTTCTCAATAAGCCCGATCCCTTCCAACACATTAGTTATGTCATATATTCTTCTCTTCTGTCTAACAGCTAACAAGTTTGTCGCCTAGAATAAAATTATACAATTACTACGAATTACGTTCAAAATATTTATTTTTCGTGCCCAAATATTCACTTGACAGATCAATGGGAGGCAAATTATGCTACACTCACGATTTTCAAATCCAAAACACCATCTTTGGCTTTTTGAAGCAAAGACACGAATTTCGTTGTGAGTAAACCCAAAGACTTTTCATGTCTTTTAGATTTAAAGTCTGCCATTGCCTGCATTTACACTAAATTTTTATAATTTCCTCTTCAAATGCGGTGATTTCTACAGAATTTTGCGTCGCGGCGGGATATTATGTTGGTAGCATTGCGACGTAAGCAACTTTTTTTAAATGAACATCCACAGATTAGAATAAAATAACCTGTCATGGAGATCTAACTTTTAGTCGATTACACACTAGGCTGTATTTTGGGCTTTGAAGTAATCATTATTTCCTTGCCTTACATAGCTGGTATATTTTTGTAAAATACTTACTACAAATAAGAATAATAAACCAAATTGTGGCCTGATTATTTTTTCTGTTTTCTTAAATTACGTATGTGAAACGATTTTAGTATTATTATGAATCGACTTCTTAGGTACTAAATGCCCACAATAATTTTTAGTACCCACGATTTATTAGTTTTAAATAAAATGTTAGTAGAAATTCTGCTAACAATCGTGTAACAATCTGCTACTGGGTATCAGATCAGGGATAATAATAAAATGCATGAGTCATGGTCATTGTCAATCCATGGCAACGGGTAGGCATGATGGTGTTATTCATAAAAAAAAAAGTTTAAACTTCGAATTTTTGTCGTTAAATACCGGCGTAACTTGTTGAATTTGTGCGCTTGCACACCTGTAGCCTGCTGTAAGGCAGGTTGTTGTACCCAAGTTTTTATTACCCATTGAATATAGGTCCTGCCTATTTCTCAACAAAGAGAGAAACAGAGATTAGAAAAACTAGCTTTTAAAAGTAGTTTAAAATATCAAAAGATACCTATTACATTCGAAAGAAATTAAGTGGGAAACAAAAATCGTCTTCATCATTAAACTTGACGAAAAAATCTTATTTGACTCAGTAAGTAGGTTTAGACCGCTCACTCTGAGTGGTATAAAATACTTTGATGAACGAAATATAGAAGATTAAAAAAACTTGATTTAATAGTAAAATAGTTAAATTATTATGTTTTCGGCTTACTCGCGTAATAGGGTAGATGCCTAATTTTAATTTTAATGTCCTCCTTGTACCCAGGTTATTTTAAATAATTAGACAAGTAATTTTTTATTTTATTTTTTTCTAACAGAAATGAATACTTTCTATTTCAACGATATATATTGATTTGAAACGTCACGTGACGTCACTTCTATGTACATTTTATACGTAGAAATGACGTTTAGCCCCCGCTCCTAAACTTTGATTTGTTTTATTTAAGTATTGTTTTATTATACGACAAAATAAAAAAATACGTGTCTAATATTTTTCCATTACCCTACTTACGGACTAATTAGATTTTTAATTTTCATACTCTGTCATCATCCCAATTGCAATTGATTGCAATAATTACGTGAGTAAGCCGAAAACATAATAATTTATTTAGTATGTAACACGAAAGTTATAATACAAATATAGTAAAATAGTTTATTCCTAATATCTTTTACTAAATATTTCCTTTAACAATTCACATTTTTCTCTTTCAATCTGTAGTGTTTCTCTGTATTCTTTTTCTTTTAATTCTATCTTTTTCAATTCTAGTGTTTCTTTTATTTCTAACTCTCTTCGTCTTAGCTCTAATTCTTCTTCTCGCAGTTTCAAATTTCTGTCATAGATTTCATCTCGCCATTGCTTTTGTTCTTCTTGTCTCTGCAAGTATTCTAGCCATTGTTTTTCCAATTGAATTTTTCCTTGGAATCTATCACTCTCTATTCTGTTGGCCAGTCTTATTTTTCTCATCTCAATAACAGCCTTGCTTTCTTGATTCATTTTTGAATTTTGATCGCTTCCGTTTATTCTATTATCTTTCTTTTTATGTAAAAGTTCAGTTAATGCGTAGGAATCACAGTCAACATGGTACTGTGAATAAATGTCATTCATGATTTTAAAATATTTGAATTTGTCATGGTGTCCGCTATCTACACACTGTTTATACTTCTTGGTAAGGGCATTTATTTTCCATCTTACTTGATCTGGTGTCATCTGAAAGAAAATTAATTAGTGAATATTTAATCCTTATTAGACTCATTGATTAGAGTGAATGGGATGTACATACCTCAATTCCATATTCACTTAAACTTTGAGATATAGCAATCCAGATCCTGGTTTTCTTCTTTGGTGTTTCTAACATTTCTAATTTACTTTCATATAATTTTAAGAGAGTTGTGGTGGCATTCAATGTCCATACTGCACCTGTTAATGATAGGTAACAAAATTCATTATCATATTCATGTCAGCCACAAGACATCTTGTACTGAAAATAGGGTTTTCTCAAAGAATTGGAGATTGACTGGTAACTATAGGTATACTTACAAGGTTTTTCTACACCATCACTTAGTTTACCTTCTATATTTCGAGTATTCACATCACTAGTGCTTTCACAGATTTCTAAGTTATCTTGAGAAGCTAAAACAAATACATAATTTTAAATAGTTTCTATGAGTATTGATTACTTTTCATGCCGCAATTTTGTTTAGCTGTTCTTTGTGTGGAACATTACACAGGCACAAATAGAATATTTTGATAGTTAAAGAAATATTCTCTTGCCTTCTTCCAAAATGCAGTACGACGCGTCAGCAGCTTCGCAAACATCCATTTCGAACGATTATTTATTTTCTACAGAAGTTTTCTTTGAAATCATTTAATTATTGATTAATCACAAAATTATGGGCTAAATCTAGACAATTTCATAGAGATTTAGTAGTAATAGTAATCTTTATTAAATATTCATCTTATATAAATTATAATATTAAAAATATGATATTTTATTTCAATAAAAACAAACAGCGAAACAATTTTGACATCTCGTTGACGGATGTCTGAATTTATTGACACTTGACAGATGCTCCAAAACCAGCTGACATATGATAATGTTCGGGTTCTGTACCATACACTTTAAGCATTTTAACGTGTACTCTTTTCGTAACATTGCTCCATTTCAGTCGCCTATTGTCAATGTCATATGTCAACAATAAACAATGTTATTGTCGGCACGGCACTCGATAAGATCTTTTTGCGGATTTTATGATTTAAATAATAATAAATGTTGTTTATTCGTCGAAATACATTATTGAGATAACATGGATAAACAAAAACTTGTTCTTTGGTTAAGTGAAACAGCAGTAAGTAGCGATGAAAGTGATTCTAGTGAATGGAGTGATGTTTGTACTGTAAAACAAGATGTTTCTGAAGATGAGGACATGAGTGATGCTGATGAAGATACTCTCTTTTTTCCTTTAATGCAATATTTAATAAGACTGAGACGGAAACGAGTAGATGATTATTTACACATCATAGACTCATGGACAGACGCAGAATTTAAAAATAGGATGAGATTATCTAGAAAAACTGCATATCGGCTCATTGGTAACTGCTTACTGCTGAATGTAAATTACAAATATATTTACAAAAATGCCTAAAGGTGGTATTGTAACAAAAAAATATTAATTTGTTTCAGATGAACTGGAGAAATCAGGATTTATAGCCTCTCATAAGTTTGGATTAAAACCATTGGAACCTAAGCTTTGCTTCTATATATTTTTATCTTTTATTGCAAATTTAGAACCACTTACTCCAATCGCAACAAGATTCGATATTTCAATCTCATCCACATTCAGAGTTATAAGGAGAGTAGTTGCATGGATCCTTACAAAATTAAATGACGCTATAAAATGGCCTCAAACATTTGAAGAAATTAGTTACATTTGTGATGCATTTCACAATAAGACTGGAATTACCCATATGGTAGGAATAATTGACTGTACACATATTAAAATAGAGAAACCCAAGAATGCAAGAGAATATTGCAATCCTAAAGGATACTTCTCTGTGATTCTTCAAGCTACAATAGATGCAAATCTTAGATTTACTAATGTTTTTTGTGGAGAACCTGGGTCTTCTAATTGTACTAGAGTTCTCAAGAAGTCACCATTGTATAATACAGCATCTCAAAACAGAAATGCTTTATTCCCACACAATACTTTCTTAGTTGGACATTCTAGTTATCCTTCTTTACCATGGCTAATGCCACCATTTAGAGAAAATAAAAGATTAACACCACAACAGAGGGAATTCAATTCCTTGCATTTATCTACTAGAAAATTAAGTGATAAAGCATTCAGTCTTCTAAAGGGAAGGTTTAGGAGAATAAAACTATTTACTGTGTATAGAAATATAGCCTTTATAACAGATACCATTGTAGCTGCATGTATTCTACATAATTATTGTGTTGAAGAAAATGATCTCTTGGAAGAACATGAATAAATACAATTTTGGATTTTCACAATTTCAATTGATTGTAAAAAAATTAAAATGTAAATGAAGTATTATCATAAATTAGTTTTATAAAAATTTGGTCTCATACACAAGAGTTGAATTCATGTGAAAAGGTATATTTATATTGCATATTTCATTTTATAAACGAAACTTAAGCAGCTCAATAGAATTTTGTTTTTATTGCCTCATTAAATCCTGATCGGCTACCAACTTTCTCAGGAGTGCACACTTTTCCCTTTCGATTTTTAACATTTCCTCTTGTTTTTGTTCTTTGAGTTGTAATTTTTTTAATGCTAATGACTGCTTTATTTCCAGTTCTTTTTTTCTTAATTGTAATTCTTCTTGTCTCAGCCTTAAGTTTCTTTCATATCTTTCATCTCTTAATTGTTTTTGATCTTCTTGTTTCCTTAAATAGTCTAGCCATTGTTTATCTAATTCTATTTTTGCCCTCCTTTCTGCTCTCAACCGTCTGAAAGGTGTTGAACTTTTGAGGGACATATTTCTTTTATTTTTATCTTTGTCTAAGTCGTCTGAACCTTGCACTACACCTGAAGCCAGTCTGTAAGTTCCAGTATTATCACTGTATCGCCCCAGAATTTGATGCATTTCATTAAAATATTTAAAACTCATTGCCCCTTGTCCATTGTCAATGCAGTCTTTGTACTTCTTTGTAAGAGCATTTATTTTCCATCTGACTTGGTCTGCAGTTACCTGGAATATAAAATTGTTTTATACCCTTCAATACTCTTATAGGCAACTAAAAATAAACTACAGATTTAACATTAAACACACCTCAACATTTAATGATTTTAATTCCTCTGCTATTGAAAGCCACATTTTGGATTTCTTTTTTGGGTTGTCGAGCATATGCATTTTTGTTTCGTATAGACTTAAAAGCATTAGTGTTGCATTTTTTGTCCAAATTACATCTGCAATGTGAAAAACATAAATCAGTAAATGATGGAGAATAAATGGAAATTCGTTTACATAAACAAATTGAAGTTTGTACATACTTTGTTTATTAGTTTCATTTACATCAGTTTCTTCTTGAGTTATGGTATGACTGTGGGTATAGGTTGTCATTGTCATGTTTGGTTTGTATGCTGCAGCTGAAATATGGTAAATTTTAGAAGAAAAAAGATAACACCAATCATATTAAATCCTTTACTTGACAACTTTGTTTCTTTGTTTACTCACATTGGTTGTCCAAAATAGCCAAAACAGCAACATTGCTATCAATGTTTTCATCCATTTTGTGTCGACTATTTGGGCGTTTTCCAACTAGTTACAGAAAGGACACAGTAATATTTTTTAAACTCCCATTTATGCAGACTTAGTTGGCTGTGCCTAAGAAATTAGATTTCAAATATATTCCACTTTATGTATAAAATTTGATTCACTTGCTGTTATGCCTCAATATAGCAAATGAGCAGATTAAAATAATTATTAAAAAATTGATCTTCCAAGTCTTCCAACACAGCGCTCTCGAATTCGTAATGTCAAAATTATTTGACAATTGCTTATGACCACAGATCAGTCAGATGGTGTTTCGAGAGTAGAAATATATAAATATTCATATCCATAGCAAGAATTTATCATATTTTGAGCATTATTTCTTCAATAATCGACTAAAAGTTTGGCTTTGTTAATATATTAAAAAAAGTTATTTAAAAAATGAATTAAAGCCAGTTGTGAAAAACGATTATTGGTTAAATTCATCATAAATTATTCGTTAAAATTGTGTTAAAACTATAGCGAAAATAAATTACGTTTCGATTGGTTTCGATAATACGTTTACTTTTGATAAATGTGGTCTATGCGTTTAAAAATGACATTGGCAGTTTATGTTTGCTTGACATGACATTCGTTTGCTCGGTGACGTGACGTGACATCGGGCGATTTGTGCATTTGCAAAATTGCATTTAAAAAATAAATTAAATAAATGTTATTTTAAAATAAATCATCCACATTTACAATACTAACATAAAAATGGCCAAGTGTGGTGACTTTATCAAAAGTCAATTCCCGCTTATTGATGAAGAATTGATGAAATATGTTGAAGGTATGTTTTGTGTAGGTTATAAAGAGAAATATTATTTTTATTTTTAATAATGACTGTATTGCTTTTTACCGCTTGATTTAGAGTTATTTTAAGGGATGTATTAGGCGTACAACCGTTGAATGATCACCGATTACTATAACTTATTTTCGTGTTTAACATTTGACAGTTAATTAATTTGGTTTCTTCCAGACATACTGGACAGCAGTGCTGGTGAGTTTGAGGACACGGAGGAAGTCTTCGAGGCAGTAGGAGAAGTACTCCAAGGAATCTCTGAAAAATCCGAAAAAGATATAAGGTTCATTCACTTTGCTCTTATATTATCATAATATTGCACAATTATTGTTAATTAGGAAACAATAATACTAGTTGTCGTTATGTGAATTATTACACAATTGAAATGTAACAGAGAGCACAATATTGTTGACAGTGTTAAAATATAATAAAAATATATACATTATTTTATAATAAATATCATGAGACATACTAAATTATATATATAAATACCTCTGTGGTTCGAAACTAGTAGAGTATATTTTCTCAGTATATTCACATGTGTAACCTGCATTTTTAGTTGACATTATTTTAGTTGAATTAGAATTTTTAATTGAAAAGAAATTATATCAAGGGGTAACGGACTATTTGGTTTAAGCGACATTTTGGGCGATATTGAGTTATATATATATTCGGAATCAGCGAATTTTTCTCCGTCGAATATATATAATAACTCAATATCACCCAAAATGTCGCTTAAACCAAATAGCCCGTTACCCCTCGATATCTTTTTAATATAAACTGCTTTTACTTATTAGGAAGTTACTTTTAAAGCTCAAAACTTTTATAACATATAGTTTAAATAGAATATCCAACAGTTAATTACAAATTGAATATTCTTAGTTAAGTAATATTTAACGTCCCATAGTTATCATGAAATAACTTGAATGAAAGGCTATGTAAAATTAATTTCGTTCAACAGAGACTTTTATGTCTTGTAAGCTTCCTATACTATATTGAATGAAAAATATTATAAAAATGGTTTTTACATTTAAAATTTCCCACAGGGACATATGTGAAAAACTACTGCATATGCTTCAGCCTGACAAACCAGGCAGCAGCAATGGACCTAGGAAAGTGCTGGATGCTCCAATACACCTCGCCTCCATGGCCGCACCTGTTACAGAAACTGAGGATCTCCGAAGTATATGGATAAATACTAGAGATGATAATTTGGTATGTTTCTTAATTCACTGATCTTGATTATGTGTTATGTGATGTTATGAAGAAAGTTACATATTTGTTAAGTTTAAAACCGTGTTTCTTGCTCATTCTTCTCCATTTGAATCTACCTTTTGGAACAAACACATAGGTTCATTGAAGGATAGACTGACAGACTATTATTTATTTTATATTTGTTGATGATTCAAAAGTACCAAAGTATGGTTTAATTGAAATAAATTTGAGATGGAGTTTAATTGAATAATGAAGTCTTCATATTAACAAATAATCTTGTGCAATCCTGGTTTCATATTAATGTGATTGATTAAATTATCTGAGGATAACACACTGTTATATGATTTTAATTTTAAAAGATAGTTCAGCTAGATAATAGTTCTCTCTTTTATAAGCTATAATTATATTATTATTTATAATCTTTTGTTTCATGGTAACAAAAGAGTAACAAATGGAGTTTCTTACTCGTTCTTCTTCATTTGAATCTACATTTTGGAACAGGCACCTAGGTTCACTAACGTACAGACTGACAGACTATTATTTATTTTATATTTGTTGATGTTTCAAAAGTACCAAATTATGGATTAATTAAACAAATGTTTTGACTTGGATTTTGACTATATGTGAAATATATATGTTATCCAACAGCAGTAATATTATCATACTTATGTATGTGGATATCATTTTATTAGTCTCATATAAGTACACACACAATATGGAAACCTTAATTATTTTTATCACATTGTCATACATGACTTCTGTTTATGACTAACGTTTATGAATTATTAACGTTTAATATATTCATTCACAGAAAGTTGATGCTAAAAAATTAGAAAAGGCTGAAGCGAAATTACAGCAGAAACAACAAAAGCAGAAAGATTCGAAGGTACCAAGCGCAGTGCCTGTACTTCAGACTGCTACGGCCTCACAGGTGACGTCAAAGAAGGATAGCAAGTTGGAGGCCAAAGGAACCAACAGAACTCAGGACATAAGGATAGAGAACTTCGACATAGCATATGGTGACAGGTAAGGTTTTTTGATATTGTTTTCCGGGGCTCTAAAAATCTGTCTAAAAGTTGTTGTTGCTAATGTTTGTCTGAATAGGTTGTGTTATTAAAATAGCAATAGGTGAAATGGATAAAACATTATAACTATTATTTTTCCGTATGGGCCACAGAAGTGCACATTTTAGATATATCCCGTACCTATGTATCACAGCTATGTATTATAGTTACATTAAGAAGGGTGGCCTTATTCCCATGTACTGGGCACTGGACAATTTCAGATTTTTTCATAAAGAGATAATATCAATATGTCCATGGGCTGTGCTGATTGCTTACCATCAAGGTGATCCGTCTGCTCGTGTACCTCCTATTCCGTAAAAAAGAACTGAGACTTAAACTCGAAACTGTCTTATGCAATAAGACAGCAATAAATCTTTAATCAGTATATTAATACATTGCATTTTAGTCACTTCTCTAATAAAAACAATTTCTTTCAGAGTATTACTGCAAGGCGCTGACCTTGTCCTTGCATTTGGCCGACGGTATGGCCTCGTAGGACGTAACGGGCTCGGCAAGACCACACTCCTGCGGATGATTGCATCCAAACAACTAAAGATTCCATCCCATATATCAATACTACATGTAGAGCAAGAAGTAGTGGGAGATGATACCGTGGCACTACAGAGTGTCTTAGAATGTGACACCACTAGAGAATAT